TGAGCTACGGATTTGAAATTTGGTATATCGGATTTTCTCGAAAATACCTATAAAATGGCATCCAAATTATTTAAATACCACGGTGGGGCCAATTCTGTATGGAAACACGCCCATACCCTTTTTAATGAATATTTTAGATTTATATACGTATCTTTAGGCATTTGCATGCTTGTATATTAAAATAAAAATGTTCATAATTTAGTAGAAGTATATCCATGGAGTATTTGAATAAAATGTATTAAAAACAAAAATACCGGAAGTTACACGTTTTGAACATTTTCGGCTGTGATTTAATTTTATGCGGTTGGCACATTTGTCAAATTGTCACAATAATTATTATTTATAACATTTTATGAACGTTAACGCTTAGATATCGATGTAATGCATAGATATGGCGGAGTTATCAATGATTTATTGATAATGAATTTTATTCATTACTTATATATTTTTTGCTTTTTGATATCACCAAAAATTTTGTGTTTATTACTTTTTTTGTTATGATTTTCTTATGCGAAAACTAAACGTTATCTTAAGGACAATGATAGTTTAAATATTCCTTTTATAATCTCTTATTATTATAATAATCGTTATAACGGTTTGTTTGCTAAGATAAGAAGCATTTTAGTTATGTTTTGGATTCAAGATGCGTCTAAGTACAAAACTAGACTTGAATATCATTCGAACCAACTTGGCAAAGATTTGCTTTCAATCAAGTACAGGAATACCCCGTTTAACGCGGGGGATACGTTCCATCAAAGTAGAGCGCAATGCGAAACAGCGCTAAACGAGGAGGCTATCTTTACATGGAAATATTGGAGTTAGGGGAAGACGGCTAGGAAATTGGTTCGGTATTAAATTTAAAGAGTATGTTATTTTTACTAAAAATAAAACCAAACATTTATTTTTTAAAGCATAAATTAATACCACATTATTATTACTTGCAAAAATAAAAATAAAATATAAATAACAAAACGAATATTCTTGAAAAAACAAATAACATTCTAAGTCAGTCATATTTAGTTAGCCTTCTGCGTTTTCAGTGTTTAGCCGTTTTGTGACAAGATCATCTAATGTTTTTGCACTTTTTCTTTTGCGTTGTTCTCTTAAAAGTTCATCATAAACGGATAGAGCATCTCTAATAGTTATGGTAGACAAACTCCTTTTTACAAACACCATCGAAAGTTCTTTTTGCTTTTCCGCTGAATCACTGCTGTCAACATTTTTGTTTTCTTCTTGTTTAGTTTATTCCTTTAGCTCACCATTAGAAAGTCTACGCGGCTTCTTGAATTTTTTCTTGACATCTTCCTCATTTATACCTTCAAAACCAGGGTTGAAATAAAAGAGCGCTAAACGATACGGCGTTAAACGGGGTATTACTGTTTACCCAGAAGACTCGAAAGGTCAAATGCTTTAGATTTATCAGATTGTAGTACATGTCATGTAGACTTATTATTACTTTTCTCTATCTTTATTAACATCCCGTAGGACAAGATATAGTAATCGCAAAAAATCGAAAATGAAAATTTTTAAATATCAAAAAAGCAAATTTTTGTCAAAAATGTATAGTTTCTCAAAAATATAATTTTTTCAGAGTAAATTTTTTTCAAAAAAAAAAGTTACTTTTTTGGTTACTTTTTTGGTACGTGAAGTTCCAGCAATTTGCCTTAAGGGGTTAGGGGTACTTAGAATTTTTGAAAAATCGACTTTTATTTTTTTGCATTTTCATTAAGTGTAATATCTTGAAAATGTTGTGAAAATTTCAAGTTGATCCGATGATTACTTTTTGAGTTATTGGACTCTTACCAGCGCGTTGACGCAAGTGGAGAGCTCGATACTCAAGATTATTCTCCCTCGCCTCCTAATGTTTTTAAAGCTTTTAAACCGATTTACGACGATCTCAGCAATGATAATTTACTTTCAAGATGTGTAGATCAAGATTGAATCCATAATCAGAAAAAATTAAAAGCTTCAACCAACTAGTGTAAAAAATATACCTAAAAACCGTGATAACTAGTTCTACTATCGTACAAATTGCTAATTGCATATACATAATCATTATTATTGATTATGGATACCCTAGGACCTAATTGTGGGTATAATTCCCATCGGTATGCTGAAAAATTAGATGCTGCACGTGTGAAAGTGGCAGATCAGCGCGCCAAAGAGAACACTCGGGAGGGCAGAATGCTTCGTAGAGAACAGCAAATATAATCGGAAACTTGCACAATGACTGATGAACTATTATATGGCCCAGAAATAAATGACTCGGTTTAAGTAATTCAATAATTCGAATTTCTGTACGTAAATCCAATGTGAAACTTTAAACGCGTTTTTCTCAAAACTATAATTTTTGAACCGGTGACCACTGTAACTCAAAAACCGCTTAGTAAATCTTAATGAAATTTATACAGCTTTTAGAATACATAATAAACTCGGGCCTGATCGAAGGATTTTTATTTTTTCAAAAATTTCAATTTTTTAATTAACTGTTGATTTTTTACCCAAAAATCTATAAAGTTTTTTTCTGATGCTGTCATTTTGCTATTTTTTGCAAGAAAAAGAAAACCTTCGATCAGGCCCAGGATTATCTATTTATAAAACTATTTTTTTATTTGATTGATTTTAGATAAATCTCTAAGGAGTTATGATGGTCACCGCCAGAACCGTTTTTTGAAACAGGGTCAACAAAAACAGCTATAACTTTGGGAATATTTATTATTTTTTTCTAAAATTTTTGTTACTTCAATGCCGTATTAATATTTTTGTAAAAAGGCATCGTTTGATAATGAAAAAAAAAACTGAAAATTCTCATTTTTTTGTGCCTCCAAGTACCCCTAATCCCCTAAGGCACGATGCCATGCGCCCCACTAGTCTAATCTATTTTTAACCATGACTATCGCTGGGTATAATTTTAAAATCTTATATCTGCACATTTGTCATCAAAATTACTAAATGCCTTACCAGGCAGATTGTAATTACATGGAAATAATAATGATAATAAAAAAAATGTTTTGCATTTACTTTTATGTTATGTTATGATTTATTACTATCCCTTAGTCAGCGGGGATCCTGATCCTGATTAAATGCGCCAATCTTGATGAAAGTCAACACACCTTAGTACATTGTTTTAAAGGAGTGCCTCTCAATTTCGACCGATTTTAAATGTTTCACAACAATGGTTCATGCTAAATTCACAGTTCAACAAAAGGTTTTAATTCTTGAAAATTAGAGGCAATTGTGATAATGTTTTTGATTGCGGTTCTAGAAATGTTATTCACGGTTACAGTTCCAAAGTTTAAACGAACAAAATTAATAAAAATTAACCACAATAACCGAAAAATTGTCGTAATTTCTCTAGGTTGCACTTAAAAGCTCATAGGTAATTTCCAAACAACGTGATATTTTTTTCAGGCAGTTAAGGTCAATATTATCACCCAGGTCTGGGACACTGTATACTATTTTTCTAGCGTTTTTTTTTCTTCATTTTTTGATCGTTTTTACTGCCTAAAATCAATTGAAGACACACAACTTTCTATATTAGGTTTCAAAACATAAGTTTGTGGACGCAAACAATGTAATAAAATCTTCTCTTAGAAAAGAGTAATTTGAACGACCTAATGTCTTCACATTTATTAACTTCCCCAAGGAGAAGTTTGTTTTCATCAAAAAATCCGATTCGCTAATTTTATGTTTTCTCGACGTTTCAAGGCATTCTGAATCGAATGAGACCAAATTTGGAAAAAGTATGTGTGTATGTGTGTTCGTGTGCATCAACATTTTTTTTGCCGTAAATCGCCGTTTTCTCAGAATTGGCTGGATCGATTTCAAAAATTTAAAAGCCATTTGATGTATCTCGATGACGACTATCGTTTGTCAGTTTTGTGCGACGATCGGCCGAGACGTTTCTTTATAAATAGCAGAAAAGTGAAAAATTTTTCGTTCACTTTTTAGCTCGCAATTTTGAATCGATTGTGAAAATTCAAAAACCGTTCGAAAGATATTGGTTGGGAATCGTGCTGATTAGTTTTTGGTAGAGATCGCCCGGGCCGTTTTTTTGTAATAAAGTGTTAAAAAAAAAAATTTCGACGATTTTTATTATTATTTTTTTGACGGTAGATACCAAAGTCTTCTAGATCATACTAAAATATTACGACTCTACGACAATTGGTTTAACTTTAAAAATTCGTCAAAGTTTGCAAATATTGGTATCGTTTTTTGGCATTTGTCAAAATTAGACCTTTGAAAAACGCCTGAACCGATTTCAGAAATTTAAAAGCCAATTTGATGTATCTCGATGAGGACTATCGTTTGTCAGTTTTGTGCGACGATCTGCCAAGCCGCTTCTTTATAATTTAAAAAAAGTGTTAAACTTTTCGTCCACATTTAAGCTCATATTACGGAATCGATTTTAAAAAATCAAAAACTGTTCGAAAGATATTAGTTGGGAATGATGCTGATTAGTTATAGGTAAAAATCTACTGAGCCGTTTTCTTGTAATTAACTGTTGAAAAAAAAAAATTAAGCCGATTTTTATGGAACTTTTTTTAACGATATATCATGGACTTATAGAACTTACTGTAATATTACGGCCTTACGACAAGTAGTTTAATTTTAAAAATTCATCATAGTTTGAGAAAATGAGTAGTTTTTCTGACGTTAGCTAAAATTAAAATTAGATTTACTTGGCATAACGATAGAGTACTTGGTCTTAATGAACATACTAAATTATTAAAGTCCTACGGAAACTGGTTCAATTATAAACATTATTGATTTTTGAATATTAGCTTTTAGAAAATACTACGTGTTTAATATGTTTGTTCGTTTTCAATTATGTGTAATAAATCCACTCGGAATACTTTTAATCACTCATAAATTAATTTATTTTTTATTGATTAAGTCGATTATTTACACATATCGGGAAGTTCATGTAACTTGCCTCAAGGCTAAATACCAATATTAACTAGTTTACTCTAATTGTTAATACTAATTACTATCAACAGGTCCTCGGTGTCGCTCTGATATCGGTAGGAACCACGATCCATGCCGTGTTCAACGATGTCCAGATTCTGCTGGGAGCGCAATGGTGTTCGCCCGCGTTGGCTCTCACCATTCTCGGAGTATTCGTGCTCGCCGTGACTGCTTTTGGTTGTGTTGGGGCATTCAAGAATAGCACCTGCATGATAAATACTGTAAGTGAAATATTATAATTACTCGTTAGTTTATATGATTGGTCAAATTGAAGTTGATATATTATATTAAATATTAAATGTTTGATATTTCTCATATTTATGGGTATCGAATTTTAATTATTGAATTCAATATACTTGTTTCCAGTTTTGGTATGGCAACGTTTTTGAACAATGCGGTCGCCAAAATGTTTGTAGAATTAATTGAAAGCTTTAAATAAATGTATAATCAAAAATCATCATAATGTAAAGTAGAATATAAGCTTGGTTATATTATTTTTATAAAGTGCTTTATTATTAATATATATTAATATAATAATAATTAATTTATGGAACGTTTATCGATTATGGTGATGTATTTTTATTTTTATCTGGAACAAAACCTATTTTATTCTTTGATAATTTGTAAAGGAAGAGGCAGCGAGAATAACACTTCTTTGTATTTAGTATAGTTCTAAGTAATAAGAAATATTTTTGTAATTTATGTATTGATTTGTTGGCAATTTTTGGACTTGTTTAATTTTCATAAATAAGATTTATTAATTTTTTGGTTTTTATTTTATATAAATAAAATTATTAACTTTATTTATATTTTCATCGATTTAGGGATTTCAAGGATATTTGGATAAAACTTAATCGAGTTTCTTTTGAATTTTAGGGTGGGAAAATGGAGCATCTGTTTTCTCAAACCTTTCTTTCTTAAAGAGCGTTTTGATGAAATTTTCATTATAATTTATTTGTGTGTTTGAAAATATTTTATACTCATTTTTATTTAGCATTTTCATTGTGATATTTAATAGTGTTTTTAATCAAACGTCAGTTATATTTTGTTCAATTTATTTAGGTAATTTCTTAAAGTTCTAGATCTAGATTTATAATTTATATAATGGAATGCTCCGATGAATACTTAATCAAGCTTATTCACTGTTTTTCAATCAATACATCGGCCATTATCACATATATACTGGACGCAGTTTAGATTTGGAAAATTGGAGCAACTATTTCATTTATATTGGCAAAATCAATAGAATGACTGAAATTACACTGAATTTTTTAGAAAACCTATTTAAATACTAAACGGATCACTTTTTTCATTCTACATGCATTGTACATATATTTTGTTGAGAGCTCATTTCATTGTTGACTATAGGTGACATAGGGTAGAGTATTTTCAGTTATTCGCCGATATTTAAAAAACAAGTAAAGTTACGAATTGTTTAACAATAATATTTAAAGGTAGAGAGGAAAATATGCATGACCAGCCATCACCTTGATCCTTGCATCGTCGCTATCGGGAGAAAAATGGCAATATTTGAAAATCCATAACAAAAGCATTTTCTTTTCGGTACCTTAATATGGTTTTTAAGTATATGTATAAGTATAATTGTTTTATAAAATGAATAGTTAATTTTAAGTTAAATTCATCAGTTTTTTATATGACCTTTGAAAAAGCTTACACGACGTAAAAAGAGCTAACTGAACTTTTACTCTGGCAAAGGTGTAAAAAATAAAAAATAATAAACAAAAATTAAATTAAGTTATAAAAGCAATTTTACAAGAGTTCAATTAAATGAATTGTTAATCTCCATTTATAAACAGTTATTTCTATAAAAAATCTACCCATGAAATTTATATTTTGCATCATTTGAAAAATGCAGCTATTATTTCGAAATGTATTTAATTTGACTATATTAAAACATTTATTTCTTATACTTAATATTTTTGAAATTTCATATGTCTTCAAATTTATTACCTTTATAGTTTATAGTTTTATAGATATCTAAATATTTGCGAAAAGGGTTGTGATGAGTCTTAACTTTAAAATCTATGATTTATTTAAGTTATTCTGGTGGTTCTGAATTTATTTTAGGTCAGATTAAATTAGGAATTTTAGATTATTAAACAGTGAACCTTCAACAAATGTTGATATCAGCTTTTATATATAGTTTATATTTTCAATATAAAAGTACTTTTTAAATTACAATATGTTTTGAATATTATATAGTTTGGATTTCTACTTCTGATTTTATTCTTGCTGGAAGTGATCGTTGCAGTTTCTAGTTTTGCAATGAGCGGATCAATTCATGGAGTCATTTTAAGACAAGTCAAGTCAGCTTTCTACAAATATGAAGATGGTACCATAGAACAACGCGAACGTGTCGATTTTTTGCAACAGGAGGTAAATTTATTGGCTTAATCAATATTTACGTTTAATTTAATTAAATATCACACTTATATAATTAAACGCATTGTTTAAATGTTTGAATTGAATTATTTTGTTTTCAAGTTGGGCTGCTGCGGTATCAATTCATATAAGGACTGGAAAGATTTGTCAAAAAATCACACATTGCCAGACTCATGCTGCAGTTACTATGATGATTATTACAATGGTTATAATAACAATAATGAGAACAAAGAACCACGATGTGTTCCATACCACATGGGATGTGCTCGAAAACTTTATTACGTTATCAATACTTGCGCTATCGTCTTGGCCTCTGGAACAATAGCTATTTGTATTTTCCAAGTACGAATTTTATGTTGAATTTAACAATTTTAATATCTTACAGATTACTCAGGCATGTAAAAATATTTAATGACGAGAACCCGAACTTGAATACTTTACCTATTTTCAGATGCTTGGCATAACATTTGCCTTCCAACTGGCTAAATCTATCCGCCAGGCCAAAACGCGAGAAGATATGGAGCGATGGCAAATTCTTCACCAAGAGCATGAGCCGCTGCCGCAAACTCCTTTCGACCAGGAACGAATCGAGTCTAGAGACAACGAAAATAAAACTGATCAATAAATCTTGTGGTTATATTTGATCATTTTTGTTTTTCGTGTGTGTTTAGAGTACCCAACTGTTGTTTGAAGTTATTTGATTATTACATGCTTGTAAGATTTTTTAGATAAGTGATAAAGTAATTTAGTTTATTTTTATTGGAAGTTAGTTACTGAAATACATTTTGTTATAAAGTATTCAACCACACACAAAGAAGCAACAATGATTTTTATAACTGCTGTAGTTTTTAAATATACAGTTTTTATTATGTGATAATATTAAATTTCATGTAAACCCATATATTTAACCAATTTACTAATAGTATGTCAATTTATATTCAAAAGTGTAATGATTTTTGATATATTAAAATGATTAAATGTTTATTATAAAAATATGGTAAAATAAGAGTTTATTACGACAATTCTGCAATCGTTATATATTTATATATATTAATATATATGTTAATGTATATATATTAATATATATATATATATATAGATATATATATATATATATATATATATATATATATATATATAGTTATGGCATTGTGGTAGTCAATAACTAAACTTTAAAATTGTAATATTCACGTTATTAGAAACACAAAGATTAAATGAAACTGTGAAAATTACTATGTAGGTATAATTAGTTTAATATTTTAATATATACACTTAATGTTATATTCGAATTTATCACAAGTCTATTTAACCAAATTCTATTAATAATGTCAATATATATCTATATATTTTATAAATTTATATTGCCGCTTGCTGTGAAAATTTAGAAATTAAACATATATACTATTTATACTGTTTTATTCATGAAATAATATTAAACTTTGAAAATGTGGCAACGAGATATTTCATAAATCATGGTGAATTAGTATAACATGATTTTGTTTTTTTTTAATATACAATTATATAAAGTAGAAAAAGTTGTCAATTTTACGATAATATGTAATTCAAGACTATAACTTTTTTATTTATGACAAGCAGAGCCTAACAGTTTTTATCAAACTACTCCATAACTTAACTTTTTTAGATGGCAGGTCAACAGTTGTTTTATCATATATGTTATCTATATCTTTATCTTTATATATGTGTGTATATATATAATATAATATATATTATATATATATATATATATATATATATATATATATATATATATATATATTGAATGTTAATTTGCAGCCAAACGTCGAAATGAAAGAACAATATTTACTGTTATTGTTCAGCCAATTTCGACTATTGGCTGCAAATTAACATTCAAAAATATGTCTCAATCACTGTTACTGATGATATTTTAATTTGATGCAGCAATGCGAGGAAGGGCTGTTTTCACTTTAATCATATTTCGAACTATATTTTGAAGTAAAAATGGATATTGCTACTGCTTGCTTTCCAGCTGTACAAGATGGGTGTCGAACTGTCTATCCTATACAGCAACCACGTGGTTGCAAAATCAAAGTTTTACGACTGTGCCACGAAGAGTCCAAAGACTATAAATTGTAGGTTTTTTTGGCAACTTGCCATGTTTTTATTACAATAAGAAATCTAGTTTCTTCTAAGTTGACTAATGACGATATGTTCAATTCGTTGATTTTTCAACGAATCATTTCAAAGAAGTTTTTTCAATTGTAGTATATCTCCAGTGATTTGAACTTCGGTGTTGCCGTTATTTGTTATAACCATAAATTTAACGTAATTTTATACCTAAAATGTCGCGAATCATTTCCGTCGTTTTAAATAATTAATTAATTATTTAATTGTTTTGAAGATTAAATATTTGTAGTAAAGGCAATTGTGAAAGATGCGAACGAAAAAATAATTTAAAAAAATAATGGGTTCTCATTGCCCACAAAAATATTATTGAAACTCTTTGAATGCCAATAATAAACTAAAATATAGTTCTGTAGCACGATTTTGTTTATCATTCACATTTTTGGAATTGTTCTCAATGAGTAATGAGTGACACATTTGCTTTGTATTTCAGATTATGTTTTATTACAGAAATAATATTAATAACAACATATGCAATGAAAATAATCAGCTACTCTCAAACTTTCATCTTTATAAATTTATTTTATTAGGTTTATTGTTTATAGAACTATACCTCACGAAATCGAAACCTCAAATACGTTACTTACTAAATATTATTTATTTCTTCATATTGCTATTTTGAAAAAAAAAAATCGAACAAACTATATAATACCTATTTAGGAAATCGAAAGTTGGTTCTATTTCCAAAAAGACAACTTTGTCTAAATATAATATTTAGAATGAAATTAGGTTTGATCCCTATATTATTTGTTATAACTTATAATATAAGACGGTTTTTCATCTATTTATTGTTTTAATAATTAACGATAGCTAAATAATATTACTTCACGAAAATGTTTTTCACATTTATAGGAATATGGTGTTAGATATAAATTGATAAATTGATATTGGTTAATTGATTTGTTAATAAGGAATTGTGTACATTGAAGAAACCGTCAGCAATATTTGTTCAAAATATTGTTGGTGAAAATTTCTTTCAAACAATGCATAATTCACTTGTTTGGCTAAATATTAATTATTTACATTGCTCGAATATCGCAAGAAAATTTTTTCACCGTACGTGTTGTAAAACAGGTAGTTTTAAATGTGGTTTCAGAGCGACAACAGTAATTATTTTAACAAATATCTATATAATTCAATAGTCAATGTCTAATACAACGTTATTCAAAGTGCCATTCTATCATTCATTTTGCACCGACTAAATTTTGAATTTCTGACTACTATCATCAGGTATATAATTCATAATTTCAATATTATTTTAATTAATAATAATTTATACTACATATTTCATTTCAGGCTATGGGACTATTGCAATTACTATTCTTTATGAAACCTAAAGATGTATACGATTGCGTGAATTGGTTACTTATTTTATTGATGATGTTTTGCACAGTTTCTATAATTAAATTTTCAAGTATGTATAACTCGTGTAAAGACAGCAGAGATCAAATCATGGAAGTTAATATGGAAGAACCATGGATATGGAATAACTTCAGTCAACAGCAGGCTAGTACTTATTCGTATAGTACACTTTTTACTATACATATATACTTTAGTATACTTTTTGAGAAAAAAGTAGTTTGTAGTAACCTGCATGTTTGTATATTTATAGGATGAATGTTATTTTTTATATATTAATGCAAAATTTATTTTTAATTTTTCGGAAGACGAACTAATTGCGGATAACAGATTGTAGCGAAGGAATATTCAATATAATAACATAACATTAGTTTTAGTGATAATTGATTATAGACCGATTCCCAATTTTGTTGTTTTTATATAATTTTGCTTAAACGGCTAAATTTTGGAGGTAATAACTAATGCCCATTATAGTTGTTAGCCAATTCATTCAGATATCCGAGAGACGAGCACAAACCAAATGAGTTTATGAAAGAGAAAGTTTAAGAATATTGTTATTGTTTTTTGAAATTCGACTAAAATAAAATAGTTACTCATTTTGTTTTAATGTAGATGAGTTCAAGACACATCAATACCAAAATACACAAAGAGAAAAGTTATTAAATATTACGGTGTTTGAAAATATTATTACATTAGTAACTAACAATTATAAATTCAATTTGATCATTTACATTAATAGTAACGATTAATGCGAATTTGTTTTAAATTAATATTTCGTAGATCGAATCCATGTCAACCTTGGGACAAATCTTATACCTAAATAAAGAACTACCAAAGCCAAGAAATAAAAATTATGTCATTCTTATTCATAAACACGGAAAATTACTAGAAGCCAGGCATATTAAAAACTTTGGCAAGAAAAAGTTAGTATGATACAAAAATTATTACATGTATACTTTATATTTTTATTCGAAAATATGTTATTTCAGAATAAATCCGTTTCTGGGCTGTTCGGTACAAAATTGTTATTTAACATATGATAGCGCAGATATTCATGCAGCAGATGCCGTTATAATTTATTTGAGCAAAACTTGCCGAATGGCTGATTTACCGGAAAGACGAGGGTTGCGCCCACGTGGCCAACGGTGGATATTTATGACCGACGAAGCGGCACCTCGCACTTTTTGGTGTGGAACGCGCTCGATACCAAAACTCGATTGGAATAAAATTTTTAATTGGTCTATGAGTTATAGGTATTATCAGATTTTTAAATACTATTTATTATAACACATTATGAGAAATAAAAAAATATAAAAATCTGATACCTTTATTCGTTCAGATACGATGCAGACATACCAATAAGTTATGGGAGGGTCGTATTGAGGAGAAAACCAATAGATGATCTGACTCATGAAGCTAACGTTGATAAAATTTTGAAAAGCAAAAAAGCTCTAGCAGCGATTTTAATAACCAGTTGTTCAAAAACATCGTTAAAATGGAAATACGTAGAAGAATTATCAAAACATATGCCTTTGGCAATATTGGGGGGTTGTGGAAAAACTACTTTGTGAGTATATCATTTCTGTATTCTTAAAAGAAGTGTTTTGTTTCTTGCTCTACGCCGTGTGAATATATATATATATATATATATATATATATATATATATATATATATATATATATATATATATATATGTATATATGTATATATATATATATATATATATATATATATATATATTGTAAACGAAAACTAATATGATATTCATATGGATTTTCCATCGTTTTTGTACCTAACCCTAACAAACTACAAAATCATACTTGATATTTCTTTTAGATGCCGAAGTCAAACCTATTACAATGTAGACTGTCCAGTATTAGAAATATTTAGATTTTATTTAGCTTTTGAAAATAGTCTTTGTGATCAATATATCACCGAAAAAGTTTGGTGGAATTCTTTCAAGAAAGGAGCTATTCCTGTTGTCATGGGCGGTGATGCTGCGGGGTAAGTAGGATATTGAAATAAATCTAATTGTTTTTATTTGTTGGGTTTAGCTTATGATTTTATATACAGATATTGATATGACAGTTTCATGAACTTTAAATAATATTAATTAAAATATGTGTTAAAATTAACATAGGGATCTATCTATATACAAGTAACAGTTATTATTAAAAGGAAATACAGCAAAAAACATTTTTCTCGATGTTTCAAGCCATTCTGAATCGAATGAGTTTTCTCAAAAACGGTTGGACCGATTTTAAAAATTTAATAGCCGTTTGTTGTAACTTTATAGACTAGCGTTTGTCAGTTTTGCGTGACGATCAGCCAAGCCGTTTCTTCGTAATTAGTAGAAAAGTGAAACATTTTTCGTCCACGATTTAGCCCGCAATTCTGAATCGATTTTAAAAATTCAAAAACTATTCGAAAGATATTACTTGGGAATCGTGTTGATTAGTTTTGGGCCAAGTTTGATCGAGCCATTTTTTCGTAATTAACTGTTGAAAAATAATTTCGATGGAACTTTTTATTTCGATAGATACTATGATCCTAAAGAACGTGCTACAATTTTACTGCACTACGGATTGTAGTTTAATTTTAAAAACTCGTCAAAGTTTGTAATAAAATTTAGTCAAAATTTGTGTCCAAAGTTGCATAGTATTATATTCTTAAATATAACTTTACCTATCTACCTTACAGTTTATCTATTATGGATCCGATTCTCGGTAGGGTTAATGTAGCGTGTAAGGGAAATTATAGGTACATATAGGTTTTAGGAGATTGGTGTACTAGGTATATAAAGTAGGCATAGAACGTATATATGATGAAATATAGCATATGATACATGTAAGACGTGTAATATAGAATGCAAGGTATAGACATATGTATGTTATCTACACGTACACGTATATAAACGTATGTAGGGTTTGTCTAATAGTAAATACAAATGTTATAGGTTGAAATAGATTAGGCTTATAAATATTATATATATATATATATATATATATATATATATATATATATATATATATATATAAAGGGCCGGTCCTGCCTTGCATGCGATGCATGCAAAAAATGCGGACGCACGCCTTAGGGGCGCCAAAACGAGTTTCGAAAATTAAATTCATGATATATTATTTATATAAAATCTAGAATACTTGATAAATCATAATAAACAATATAAATTGGGCTAGGGATACGGAGACACAAAAAGCATATTTATTTTGCAATGTGATATCAGTAGAAACAATTAACCGATTCATTATTCTGCAAATTAGTAAATAACAGCTCTGTTTATTGCTTAATCTACTTATTCAATATTTTCTTTGTTTAAAGTAACCGTGGAATCGGCAAAGAAATTATCTAGTGTTATTTATCCCATAAGCGCAAACCTGCGAAAGATTAAATTAATTATTGGGCATTATCGATCAAAAATTGTGAGCTGATTTAGTTATAACAGAACTTGTTAAAAATATAAACAAATTATAATCGGGAAAATAAAAAATGGGGAGTAAGTGCTTAGAAAATGGCATGTTTATTCCGAGAAATTGAATTCTAACTTTTGTTTTTGTTGCAAATGTTTCGCATCTCGTTATGGAAATGGAACAAATATGAAAAATGAAAGAAAAATTTACTTTGAAACGAAAATCTAAAAGCTTTTTTATACCTAGTGGTGTCCATACTCTAAATTTAATATTCATTATATATGCAGAAATAATACATATCAAATATAATTAGTTTTCTTTTTTCATTGTAGTTCAAAAAATGTGTAATTTCTTTGCATTTTTTACTGATTATAGATTAAAATTTAAAAAATTCAACATGAAATACGAGTGTTATGATTGAAAATGAAAAGCTAGTTTTTTTAACTCTCTTGGCATGATTTGCTCAACAGAATAAATCGCATAATAAATAAATAAAATGTTTCAAACCCTTAATATTAATATTGCACACACGTTAAAAATATTTTCGAAATATTTCAAAATACAAAAAATGTGTTTTAGAAGTCTGTTTTTTTATTTTTCAATAAAATTTGATGCTCTTTATAAAATGTAATTTTCAGTACGAGATGTTTCAGTAATTTGTCTTAAGGCACAATTCCATGAGTCACTAGTTTAAATTTTTTTTGACGCTATAAGCTTGGAAGTGCACAAATACGTCATTTTAAGAGGGCTCGAGAACTGAAGAACATATTTTTCTTAAACTTTCAGCTTGTTTACGGATCTTTATATTAGCCAAATTGCCAAATTTGATAACTTATTAACCAATTTGATAATTTACGTTCGGAGAGGGAGGCAAGGCAAAATAATAAATTTTAGTTATCGTTTATTTCAATCAAAATTTTGCATTGCAATCGTATTATGTTTTGTTAATTATATTTCTTAAAATAAAGATTGTTGTTAAAAAAAGTTGATTATATTGTATAGAATTTTTTTCTCACTATCCAAATTTTGCCGCCCCCAAAATTTGCCGCCCTGGGCAGTAGCCCCGATTGCTCCTACTGTAAATCCAGCATTGTGTATGCCCTTGAAGAACTTACTCATATTTCTCAACATTAAAACTAACTTCTTTAACACACACACACACACATATATATATATATATGGTCAGAATTTGATTGATGCTGATGAAATTTTGTAATGTTGCTAAATTATAATATCAGAAAATAATAATATAGCTAGTAGTACGTGGCAATTTGCTCTTATGTTTATAATGTTTATTAGTTTGAAAACATAAATCTAAAATTTTATTTAATAGAACGATCAATTTATAACGTTGACGAGGCAATTGAAGCCACATATTTATTGGAAATAATCTTAAACAATTTAAAATGAATTATATATATATATATATATATATATATATATGTATATATATACATATATATAAAATAAATTCTTGGTGTTTTTTCATTTTGAGATTTTTATTGTTTTAGAAAAACGTATTCTCAATTTCTCCCGTTGGGATCATATCTGACGGTTGACGACTTCTCGAGCCCTAAGAAATTAGCCGATTGTTTGCAAGGCGATTGCTCTACTGAGGAGTCCCTTAGAAATTTCCACGCCTGGCGCAAGTACTTCGAAGTGAAGCAGGAGCATGCCTTCTTCGGCTCTCGTTCCGTCCACTACTGCCGCGTGTGCGAAGCGCTCAATTACAACAGCGAGGAGCCGAAAACCTACGACAGCATCCATGACGTTATACGCACTAATGATTGTCGATTGAATTTGAAGCACCCTTTGTATTAATTATCACAGCGATTTTTATTTTGCATAAGAATAATAATAATAATAATTAGTGTTTTGAGCAAAGGCAGGTCAGGTGAGAGCAGCACATATCATTGATTTTTTTCCCTTTCTTGTTTATTGTTATAATTTACTTTCCCAAAATTTTGCTTTTATGCTTTTCGATCCTGCACTTCGGTTTTTAATTCGGTATTTTTTCCTCTCTCGTAAGTCAATCATCTGCATCAAGCATCAAGTCGTGCATCAAGCTCTCTTTTTATAATATGAGTTCGATCCAGTTTCCTTTCCTTTCCATGAAAGTGCTCAGTAGAGTTCTTCCTTCCTCAGACTCTTCCTCAGCACTTCTTCATTTGTTATCTTATATAATACAATATATAATTTATAAGAACCGGAAGTCTTTCTGAGAAAACATTCGTAGATTATGATCAATTAGATCAGAATTCAATCTCTGTGCTTCGAAATATTGTTTATTTGAAGACTAGTTGTTAGTTTTATTTATTGAAATTTGCTCATGGTGCTTACCACCGTCAGGGCGATAGACGTAAAAGAGAAATATTTTGCACAAAAAAGTCCTGAAATTTATTTTATTATTTCTATATTATATAAATGAAAAAATAAAGCGTAAGCTTTGCAAAACTAATATAAAATAAAAAATATTGTTATTCAATTCAATTCAACACAAAGGCTCAGACTTAACAAATAAAATAACAAATTATGATATACGCAATAATATATATATATATATATATATATATATATATATATATTTATATATATATATATATGTATGTATGTATGTATGTATATATATATATATATATATATATATATATATATGTATGTATGTATATATATATATATATATATATATATATTTAAACATTTTCAACATATATATATATATATATATATACATATATTATTTTATTATAGGGCTACAACAATATACAGTAAACCCTCCGTTAACATGGCATTTTGGGTACACGGTTCCCATACTAAGCGGAGCTACAAATACGACATCCCGCCGACCACACGGACTTTCTATTACACAGGTTTTTGTTCAACAGCCCATAAGTTCCTTGCGCAACCTATGAATGATTCTAGAAACCTGATATGAAAAGGGTATTAAGATAAGTTTTGTTATCGACTTTTATCTTTTAGATATGCCTGATTATATAATAGCTGTCTAAGAACCCGTTTGAAATGACTACTGCGTCGCGTCAATTTTTGAATAATTCATTTCAAAGTCGTTTCGTCCGCATTACTCCTACTTCAAGTTGTATTTCTTGGTCTCCATACAGCACGATAAAAATGGTGCGATTTGTACTAACTCTGAGTCTCTCATAGCACGGTTCCCATACTGCACTATGTAAGTTTCCATAGAACGCACTACGAATTAGCCTGAATAGTATGTTAAATTTTTTATAGCACGGTCCCCATACTGCACGGTACGCACTTACCGCGTTAACCGAGGGTTGACTGTATAACAATTCCAAAGTGAAATATGCTTTGACTAAAGTATTTTTTGATAGGAATGTATTTTTATATGTACGTATTATATATTTAACATGCAAATCCGTTTAATATAAATACTTATTTGTTTAGATTAAGTAATAAGCTATTCGTAAAAATTTATAAAACGTGTCAAATCAATATCGTATGATTAATGTCATACTTAAAATTTAATATTTCCTACTATGCTGATTAAATTTTCAATCAACTCAACTGATTTTTTTTCCGGGTGCTAAAAATCATAAAAGTGAGGGTGTAAATTCGGTCAGATGGGTCATTTATTATTCTACAAGTTTTCAATGGTTTTTCCGCGAGGTACGTTTAGTAATTAAATTTTTACATTATTACATCAATGTAACATTTGACATGTTACAGTGTTTTTGAATTTAAATTTAACGTAATCATTTCAAGTTAATTATTCTTAATTTTTTTTTCATCAAATATTATTTTGTTAGGCATCGATTTGATATTTTATATATAATTATGCAAATACGAATAATTTGGTTTGGAAATAAAAATAATTTAATCAGAAAATGTACAAAATGTATATGTTAAAATATATTATGGTATAATGGCTTTTCGTCGAAGTTTTCTGAAAAGCGGCTGAACCTATTTCAAAAATTTAAAAACCTTGTGCTATGATGATACAGTTCATCGTTTTAGCAATAATCCTAATATATTATGGGCCTACGAAAAGTTCAATTATAACAATTCATCACAGTTTGTAATAATCAGCCGAGTCAAAATTTGAAACTTCTATTGTCACAATTTTAATAGCTGCTAAATCTCAATTCTGAATGATTAACTCGTTGTACATCTTGGAAAAAATTGCAGCTTTCTATAAAGCAAAATGCTCCACACACCTAGTTCACTATATTTAATTAACATTTATTTTCAAACGACTTGAAATATATATAAAATATACGCTCAACATGATATTTGCGTGCAAATCTGATGCCTCATGCAACAGGAACTTAACGGATAATTGTACGCGTTCATGCATTATGTGATTTTTCTATTCGATAACCACCCACTATTTAACAAATGGGAAATAATATCGAAGGATTGTCATCTCCGGAAACTGATATAATATGATGTATACTGTATATTTTATAACTACTAGTTTCTATAATAAATAAATTACATGGAAAATATGTATTTCTCATAAATGTTGCTTTAGTAATGTTGTTGAATCACGAACGCTTTTCAGCATTCAACACGGAGAAAATCGTGAGAAGTAGGGGAGACTGGGTACGGTTGTGCTAATTTTTTTTGATAAGCCATAAATTTGTTAATTTACTAGTAAGCTGAGAGAGAAGTTAATTAACTGGTAAATTAAACATTTATTTATGTGGAAATGCTAAAACACTGTCCTTAAATACGATAGATTAGTCATAAAATCAAACCATGCAAAAAAAGGGCAAGTGTCGCAATCGGCCACACGTCCAGGACGGTTATGACAGGCATAAGAATAGTTTAAATAAAAGTAGCTATGAACACTAAAATTATTTATAACGACTTTTATTGTCTGAAATATGTAACACAGCATAACATAATCATCTAAACGTTTATTAATAAAATATCAAAATATATAACAAAACAAAATAATTTTTCAAAGTTAATCAGAAATCTTTTAAAAATTGTGAAATCTTTTGTATTGAATTTTACTTTCCTTTCTCTTTCGTATTTTGTCTTAGTTAAGTTAAATTTATCTTTTTCTGTTTAATCTTCACCCGAAAAACCAAGCTCCACAATCACATGTCAAAACCGTTTTCAACGAACACTTTTGAAAACAAATCATCGTTGTGACTGAGCTAAATTATCTACGCAAAAACTAATTGCTGGTGATTATTCACTAATTTTCAAATTGCATCAAAATAATTAACAAAGATTAAAATCTATCTGTATCCACGTAACAGTTATTATTGAAAAAAATAGAACAAAGAAGCTTTTTTGGCTCTTTAACAGCAATGCGATCTACAGATCATGTTAATGTAGGGTGCAGACTTATGGTAACAGGCCCAAACAAACAAACTACAACTTTCTCGCTTTGGACCCTATCTCAAAATCAATATAGTTTAGCTGTTATGGCGACTTTTACTACCGTACTCTGACACAACTGTACCCAGTCTCCTCTATATGTACGTCAAACAATAAAGCCGGTAAATTGTATCATAGACAGTCAACGTTTGTCAACAATATTAATTATTAATGTTTTTAATACTTATATGCATATGAAATATGCATATAATTATCAAAAATATTAAATACTGTCATTATATATGCATTATATTATAAGGTAAAAATACGCGCACGTCGATAATGTTCATTAAAAATATTTTATTTTAAATAAATTATTATTTATCGGTTCCAGAATTTGTTTTGCTTCTTCTGGTATGCCATCAGAATTATTAAAGAAATGTGTTATCTTTTTAAACTTAAAATATAATATAGGTAAAGATAATAACAGATAAACACTTATAGTAAAAATGATACTGTACAATTATAACACACACATACACACACAGACTTGATAAGGACATTTTTGAATTTCCTTGCTCTCAAGGGCTCAAATGGTTCCAAATTGATAAAAAACAACTCTGAAAGTTTACAAAACTTTGATTGAATTGCGCTCTATCTAAAATACAATATTAAGAGCTAAAACTTTCAGAGAATTGTTTTTTATCAATTTGGAACCATTTGAGCCCTTGGGAGCAAGGAAATACGAAAATTTCCATATTAAGGACCACCCTTATATATATATATATATATATATATATGTATATATATAAGTTCTTATAAGGCGATACATCAGAGAAAAAAACGATTTATAAATTAATATTTAATACCTCTATTATTTTATCGTTTTGTTGTTAAGTGCTGCTGTTCTGTTAATTTTCCTCTTATAGTTTCTATACCAATGCACAAATCTCATAATTACCTGGTTATATCAATTTTTTCACTGATTTTAGATCCACTGATGATGACACCAAATTGAATGTCGAAACGTTTGGAATTAAAGATTAATTATTAAATCTTTGTTTTTTGCTTTGATGTATCGCCCTATAGATATATCTCAACATCAAAAATAACTACAAAATCATATATATATATATATATATATATATATATATATATATGTATTACAAACGTTTTGAGACTAGGTTTGTCTCAACATCAGTGTGTTATAATTTAAAATCTAATATATGGAAACCTCAATTAGCATTATGTGTTATCCGTTACAAGTCATTCATTATACTGCCCCACCAACGATCGTTGGAGTCTGAATTCTCTATCAAGGTCAAATAGATGAGTCACGAAATATCAAATAGAAAAGAGAAAGAATAGGGCCCAGTTGAAAAATAGATGTCGCTAGGAGAAAAAATATTCTATGAAAGGAAATGGTTCGTTTATAAAAAATGTTTTATATATATATATAT